TTCAAGGACATGGATATGGAAAGTCATGAATTATAAAAAATTTATTTTTAATGAATTTTTGTCAAGTCGCTTTGCAAATGATTGTACATGTGAACTGTGATCTACAAAGTTTGATCAAAAGATACAGTACATCATTTTGCAAACAGTAATAAATAAAATTTTTGACAAAGACAGTTCAATTAAGTTCAATGAAAAATGGTTTATTTTGGCTTAGCAAATATGTAGAATTGAGACAAAAAAAACAAATTCATTGCATTTGTTAGACAATTCTTTCAAGAATTAAATTCTGAATCCGTGAATATGCAAAATCAAAATAAAAAATTCATTTGATTTGGTTGAATGGCAGATGGTCGCCAAGTTATCTTTAAAAAAAACTTAAAAAGAGTATGAATAATAGCTTATCATGAACCTAGTTAGACCAAATCAGTTATCATCATTACAGATTCTACATATACGTAAAGAAAATGAATATCAGTGACCCTATAAATTAATCTAAATTTTCATGGTCCCTGCAATGCTATTATATACTTGGAAAGGACTGATTCAAACTATGTATATAAGACTTTTATAGTGAGTTGAGTCGAAACTCGTGATAACACAAATTAGATTAACTCGTGATAACGATAACACAAATTATGAATGGATCGTCCGAGATTTTCGTTAAGGAAATTGCCAGATTTGGCGTGAAAGTTAATATATCAATCAGAATTTAGAAATACATATGATCGTATTATCAAAGCGTGTTGGTTTTTTTTAAGTCGGCTTATTTTAAAAATTTTGAAATGACTTTATGCTTAGGAAAAATTTTGAAATGACTTTATGCTTAGGTACAATTCAAAAGATCGGAAATTTCAGGACCAAAATGTAACGTAACAATTAAAAGCAATGTAATTGTTTTTAAACCAAAATCTCCTGTAACTTGAAATTTTACCTATGAAGATGACTTTTGCGTCTTAATTAAAAGTGTTCCTTGTGGATTTTAATATATATTTAATCCTAAACTTTAACCTAGAATAAATTTTATAGACTTTGATTTTACACATCTATTGAATTATCTATTGAATTATCTATTGCGGGACCGGACTTTTATTATCCGAGCTCCGAACAATAAACTCATGTGAAATAAAAGGGAGCGTAAGTCCGGAAACGTACGTACGTACGTACGTACAATGGGACGTATGATGTACATATGCTATGAATATGAATATGAATATGTACGTAGGTCGTTTTAATGACAGTTAAAGATTAAATAATGAACATTCATTACAGTGTGCATTGTACGTGAATGCATGTCATGTACCTTTTCTAGAACGTATATGTATATAAAAACTTTATCTCCGCTTTGAGTCTTTTGGGATTACCTTGTTTTATCATTCAAACTTCGACAACCAAATCTATATATGGTTAACAGAACAATGTTGAAATCAAAGAAATAAACATTAATTTTTCATAATTATCAAAGAGACTGAAAAGAGAATCAATAAAGCTCATAAAACAAACAACAACTCTTTTCTTTTTGTTCAAATTACATTTTACATATAAATATTTACATTTTTGTAAATCTGTATGCTTTAAAAAATTACCTTTTGGGATCACTTTAGGGTTTTATTCAGATTTCCATTTTGGTATTAGCAATAAGATAATCATGATCATAAAAAAAATATAAAAGGCATCTATATTCGTTTTTCACACCATTCCAAAAACTTCAGAAAAAAAAATGGATCAAAATAATACCATAAGTATGAAATTCTGTCGTGAAGAAAGTCGTATTTGCCCAGATTGTAATCGTATAAGAGTCTCTTATGGATGGTGTAAATTTTGCGAAACAGAATATATGCGCTTAGCTTTCACGAATTGGAAAAGTGGAAATAAATTCATAGATTTATTAATTCAACATACACAAATGAATGCGACGCAAGTTTGTGATTAATTGGAGTACATAAATTTTGACAATATCGAAATGATAGAATGTATTGGTCGAGGAGGATTTAGTAGTGTGTATAAAGGATATTGGATGGACGGGCCTCGCTGGGTCTGGGATGAAAAAGAAGATTCTTGGATACGAAGTGGGCCCACTAAAGTAGCACTTAAAAGGCTTGACAATTCACAAAACTTTTCCATGACATTTTTAAAACAGGTATGTTGTAAAAATATTGAATTACTATTTGTTTTCATTTACATCATTTTTTTTTTCAATAAATAAATATTTATATTTCTTTAATTTATAGCTTGAAGTATATCATAACTGTCTTCAAAATGGATCAATGGCAGACTGCTTTGGAATAACAAGAGATGAAACAGGATGTTTTATGTTTGTTATGCGATATTATGAAAATGGAAATCTTTATGAATACATAGATAATAACAAAGGAATTATCAGCTGGAGAGATATAGCAGATATTCTTTGGGGAATCGCTAGTGGCCTCGAAAAAAATCATTTAGAAGGCCTCTGCCACACAAATTTACATGGAGGAAATCTCCTAATTGAAGATGAAGCAGTGTCAACAGATGCAAAAATATCAGATATTGGACTTCACGGACCAGCAGACAAATCAATTCCTCAAGATGTAATAATAGGTGTTTTACCTTTTATCGACCCACAGGTGATACTTGGAAACCAACGGCCGAATCCCGCTTCAGATATTTATAGTTTTGGAATAATTATGTGGGTTTTGGCAACTGGACGTAAACCATATTTTAATCGAGCACATGATAAACAACTAGCTTATGAAATTTGTTGTAAAAATTTACGCCCCGAAATAAGCGAAGAACTTAAAACAGAAATGCCAGAAGAATATCATAACTTAATGAAGCAATGTTGGGATCCACAGCCAGAAAATCGACCAACATCGAATCAATTAAATAAACAATTATGTGACTGGATTACGGCAATTTGCGATGATCCAAATCCTTCACAAATTTCAAATAGTTTTGGTATTGCTGAAGAGAAACGATGGGAATCAATTGGAAGAGAAATTGAAAATAAACAATTATCTACATATTCTATTCATAAAGATGCGATATATTTCAGTCGAATCATTGATTATAAAATTCCTTAAAAATTGATTTCCAGGCAAATTTGCCTAGAATTTTAAAAAAGTATTTAATTAAACCAAAAAATTATTAATGTAAACTTTATTATAAAAATTTTAAGTAATAAAAAATTTAAATTTTACATCTCACAATAATGAAATTTCGTGTGACTTTGGGCGTTCTCTCAATGGATTCAACAAAGAATTTGATTGGTTTGTCTATCAAACTGGCAATCAAATTCTTTATTGAATTCATTGAAGGAAATGTTTGAGAACGCCCTTGATCAATGATTTAATCTCTAAATTACTTATGATACAGTAATAGAAGTATGGCGTGCGGCCTTTTTTTAAAAACAATTGGCAAAGAAAATTTAAACGTGTAAAATAAATGTAAAAAAAGTTAACCATCTTTAGATGGGGCGCAACAATATCTGATTTTTCCTTAATTTCATTATCGCTAAATCCCTTGTCAATGAAGCAGACCAAATTTAGTAACGTCGATCTGACACAAATATTGATCTAACAGATATTTTACGATACGTACTTATTTAGTGCAACGAACGGAATACTTATTTCTGCAAGTGATACAAACAAAAAAAGGAAAACATGCGGTATTAGGTACTATATTAGGCAGGATTCATTTGTATCAAACTCAAGAACGTTAGTATATAAGAATAAGTCAATAATTTAATTAATGAACCAAGGTCGACTTTGAACATCAATTTTCAAGTATTTTCGCTTTCTTTTTTTTTGCTCATTTTGCTCATTTTGCTATTTTCGGATTCTGTATCGGGTTGATCCGGGATAGTCAAATTTTGAACTCACTGATTGATTCTTTGTATTACCAGCACAAATAAATAAACCGAATTACAATTTCGTCATTCAACCGAAAAAATACTATACATAATGTAGAAATTACTGTGGACTTTACCGAAAATATTTTGCGCTACATCGAGAAGTTTGAAACCCGATTATAATTGGTTACAAACAGTTAATCAATTATAATCGATTGCAAACAGTTAATTATAATCGATTGCAAATAGTTAATCGATTATAATCGATTGCAAACAGTTAATTATAATCGATTGCAAATAGTTAATCGATTATAATCGATTGCAACCAGTTAATCGATTGTAATCGATTGCAACCAGTTAATCGATTGTAATAGATTGCAACCAGTTAATCGATTATAATAGATTGCAACCAGTTAATCGATTATAATAGATTGCAACCAGTTAATCGATTATAATAGATTGCAACCAGTTAA